TCGAGGGCCCAAAATGAGGTCTTATCGGTGTGGGCCAACTATTTTATGGTTATGGATGTGTAGACTGGGCCGGCGTGCGGTGGATAAAGAAAGCATAAGATTATAGATTTCGCGACACATGTATATATGAACTTTTTACCTTAAACACTCAAAGAATCACCTCCTGAAGTTTGGCCAGATACTTAATAAACACCCTGTATTTAAAAATTACTAGCTAGTGATTTAGTAAGCTATGTTTATTTTAATAGGAAAAAATACCAAAACACCAATTAATTTTAAATGTATCTAAATAGGCACTTTAATAATTGAAAAATGGACAGGAACACTTAAAATCACTTCATAGAGTATATATATACCAAATATGCTAAAAATAATAATTCCAATAAAAAACACAAATGGCACATTAAAATCTGCATTATCTGAAATAAAATTATAGCTAAACGGCTAATAAAAGTTTTTAGTAATTATTCCGAGTTATTATTACATATTACATACTTGTTTTACAATAATTACTGTAATACAGTAGCATTCCTTCAAATAAATTTTGATTTAAGTATTGTTAATATAGTCATATTAATGATTATAGCCCGTATGATTTCTAAAATAAATAATCAAACGTGTTTTTATCAGAATTATTAAATGATTAAGAAGAAATAGTTAATTTTAGTAACGTCGTAAGTGTTATATTTTAATATAATTTTGGATTTATAATAATTAAATAATTATCTATTTATATTAAGTTTAAATTGTGGTTTCTTTTTCATCTTTCTTGGTTTAGGAGTAACGGTGTTAAAATTTAGTTAATGGAAAAAATATACGAAATAATTCTGATTTCTTTCGAAAATCGACAACTATGAAACTGTGAACCCTTCCTGGATACAAACGGTACATTGTGAGACAGGAAATTGTAGAGAGAAACAAGCCCTATAACATAGGATACAACATTTTAATGAACAGTGCTTTACATAAAATCAATCAAATGAAAATATACGAAATAATTCTGATTTCTTTCGAAAATCGACATCTATGAAACTATGAACCCTTCCTGGATACAAACGGTACATTGTGAGACAGAAAATTGTAAAGAGAAACAAGCCCTATAACATAGAATCCAACATTTTAATGAACAGTGCTTTACCTAAATCAATAAAATGAAAAATATACGAAATAATTCTGATTTCTTTCGAAAATCGACAACTATGAAACTATGAACCCTTCCTGGATGCAAACGGTACATTGTGAGACAGAAAATTGTAGAGAGAAACAAGCCCTATCACATAGGATACAACATTTTAATGAACAGTGCTTTACATAAAATCAATAAAATGAAAAATATACGAAATAATTCAGATTTCTTTCGAAAATCGACAACTATGAAACTATGAACCCTTCCTGGATACAAACGGTACATTGTGAGACAGGAAATTGTAGAGAGAAACAAGCCCTATAACATAGGATACAACATTTTTATGAACAGTGCTTTACACAAAATCAATAAAAATATACGAAATTATTCTGATTTATTTTTGTTTTCTTTAAGAAGCTAACAAATAATTTCAAAAACTCAACTATCAAAATATAATGGTAGCAAATTTTTAAAATCATGCATAGGTATAATGTTCTATATTAATTGGACATACTAAATGTAAATTAGGTATAGTTGCTGCAATCGATAATATATTTTGTTGCTTTTTCATATCACACAACATTTTCATCATAACAAAAAACCGTCTCAATACCGCTACTCATATTATGGGCACCTATGTATACTTAAATCTCATAATGATGTTTAAAAATACATAGGTATACATACTATGAGTAGTGGTTGTGACGGTTTTTTATTATGTATGATGAAAAGAAGCTGCAAACTAAATTATCGTGGAACTATATTTTAATTTATTTTTATCTACAGTAACTATTACTTATTTTTTGTACGACGAATTTAAATTTATGGGCCATCCATAAATTTACACGGTAAGTTCGAATATTGGTTAAACCTAGGAATACCCAGGTAATAGCCCGAAATATGCAAAAGAGTGAGTTTACGTTAGATTAGAATTAGGTTTTAGTTGGTTAGGTTAGGCTATGGAGTGTAGAGGTAAGGAGAAACAACTCCGTGCATTAAAAAATGGTCAAAAAAGGGAAGAATTAGGATGGCGCTGCTGTAGCAAAAATCTAAAATTTAAGACATGCGCCGAACATTTTTAGAACAGCTGATTCAAAAGACATAAATATTTGACGTGAATCATATACGTGAAGCCGCGGGTTTCAAAAAAATACAAATTTTATTTTCATGTCCACATGAAATAAATTACAGATTTTTATTCAGCAGCATAGACTAGCCCCTTTTTTATTGTTTCGATTTGTGATTGTTTCTCATAAGTTATTTCGTAAATGTCATTCAAGACGACGAAAAAATATTCTGATCGTTTTAGCTTAAAAATGTTAATTATAATTAAGAAAATTTTATTTAAAGTAATAATTGGTGATGGGTTTAAAATAAATATAATGCAGCTTTAAAATAACTTCATACCTACATTTATTTAGTATAAAAGTAAGTCAATATGTGGTTTTATTATCGATTATTCATAAGCAGTAGACTGAGTCTCTTTTTTATTGTTTCTCATAAGTTATTTCATAAATCTCATTCAAGATGAAAAAACTTTAGTTTAAAATTAATGTTAATTATAATTAGGAAAACTTTATTTAAAGTTTAATTGATGATATGGGATTTAAATAAATATAATGCACGTCAAAAATAACGTAACACATTTTATTTAGTATAAAAATTAAGCCAATATAATGTAATGTTATACTGTACAGGGTGGGTCAAATTCGACGCTTTTAAATGGAAACACCCTTTTCTATAGGAGACGAAAACTAATATCGGCGTCTGGAACTCAATTTTCATCAAAAACATGATGGTGAAAACCGCACATCAATATCTGTTACCATTTCGGAGTTACGGGGCGTTTTTCAAAAATGTGCATTTTAACAAATCGCTGTAACTTTTTTGCAATGGAAAATTTTGTATTTTTATGAAAACATTTCCAAAACACCTTTTTACGTAGAATTTAATGGTTTAAGTATAATTTTTTTAAAATTAATAATTTAAGAATTATCAACAGAAAATTTGATTTTTTATATGGGACACCCTGTATATTTTTAATTTATTGAAAATAATTTAAAATTATCTTTCCAAAAATATAACACACTTGATATTTTGCTCTATTCCTCTTCGAGATATAGAATATATAAAAATTCGCCCGCTTTAAATAAGTAGGCTTGGAACGGCACCGGCTGTTAAAACAAATATAATATTTGCTATGAGAGATGCAGAATTTTATAACAATTTAAAATAAATTTAACCAACATGCAATACATTTAAACTATATCTAATAACAATAAAAATAAATAGCAAACCAAGACATGAGATTTTGCTACAGGTGTTCGACATATCGACCGTCTTCTGTTATGGGCAATTTTTGAACATTTCTCGCGGAATTCATTAACTCAGTGGAGGTGAAAGATGCCCTCTCATAACTGCTAAGTATTTCTAATTCTTGTCGAGATTATACGGAAGAATAAGGAACCTTTATTCTTCCGCAAATATATCCATAGGATTAGATTGATGATCCATGGGCACTAAGTCAGGCGGCCTCGACGGCCAACGGCTGGGATCTTGGTTAGCTATTCAATTATTCTTGAAATTGGCTGCAAAAATTTGCTGATAACTTCAGCGTTCAGAGGCGGTGCCTCGTCTTGCTGGAAAAATATGTTTTCGAGTTCCATTAAGAGCATATCATCAATAAGGGGTCCAAAGCCTACTAGCTAAAAGTGGCAAACTTTTCAAAATTCTGTATTTCGAAGGGGATTATAACAAAATATCAAGTGTGCTATATTTTTGGAAAGGTAATTTTAAATTCTTTTCAGTTAATTAAAAATATAGAGGGTGTCCAAATAAAAAATCAAATTTTCTGTTGATAACTCTTAAATTATTAATTTTAAAAAAATAATACTTAAACCATAAAATTCTACGTAAAAAGGTGCTTTGGAAATGTTTTCATAGAAATACAAAATTTTCCATAGCAAAAAAGTTATAGCGATTTGTTAAAAATGCACATTTTTGAAAAACACCCCGTGACTCCGAAACGGTAACAGATATTGATGTCAGGTTTTCACCATCATGTTTTTGATGAAAATTGAGCTCCAGACACGGATATTAGTTTTCGTCTATCTCCTATTGAAAAGGGTGTTTCCATTTAAAAGCGTCGAATTTGACCCACCCTATACAAGTATTTATTTACGTTTTGCCATCGTAGTTGCTATTCATTCAGAATAGTGGATTTTAAATATGTTTGGTAGTCGGATGGTTTAACTATCGTAACAATAACTACTTTTAATAATTTTTTTTCTAAATTCTTTGCAATATAATTTGCATCCCATGTATTGTAATATTTTCCTTTGAATTTCGTTTCCTATTGTCCCATGACTTAGACGTAATTTTATAGCCCCCCAAGACGTAATTTTATAGCCCTTCCAGATCCTCATGTATATGTCCCTTTTCCTTGTAGTCCACCCAATAGAACCTTTCTCTTAGCTTCCTCTCAAGTTGGTAGTTGCCATTCATTAAGAATAGTGGATTTTAAACATGTTTCGTACTCGGATGGTTTAACTAATGTAACATCATAAATAAATTGTATACCAACACAAAATGGCCAAACTTCAACAGACTTTAATATTCATAAACCTCATCAGAAGAAAATATTTTTTGATCCAGAGTTTTTTTTTTCGTTATTAGAATAAATTACCTGCAATTTGTTAATTCATTACAACATTGAATAAAAGATGCAAAGTGTTTATACATACTATAATAGATAAATCTTCATTTAAAATTGTGTGATTTAAGATCTGCTTGCTTGTAGGTAGGATCTAGACTATAATTTCTTTAGGTTTATTGAAATAACCAATAAAGTGGTAATGCTGAAATGTTGTTTTTAATTTGAGCAATAGGGTCCATTATTTCCATTATTTGATGCTGTTATTGCTCTACAAAATGTTGATCAATCAAGGGATGTTTATGTGTGTAATATTACTATTTATGAGTATAATAATACTGTATGATCGAAAAAACACGGCGTCCAGTTGGCTTGGAATTCGACATCGATGACATTCTCCATATCATTTTACATATAAAATGACAGCAATCTTCATTTCATAGGCACCGTTGACGCCGTTTTTTATTCGATCAAATTGTACTTACGTGTATAATATTCATTTAATGGTTCCTGTTTTAGTTGCTGGTGTTGATATTTTGGTGTTTTATTCTGTTGTTGCTCTACAAAATGTTGATATTTATGTGTATAATATTACTCTTTCTGTATATAATATTCATTTAATGATTCCCTTCTTGCTTGTTGCTGTTGTTGCAACTCAGAATTTAAATTAACCTGAGGCAGTAAGTAGAGCTTCATCCTCCAATATTTTCCTATGTAAATACTATAAGTGGACAGTATTTCTGATGACAATTTTATCATAAGCTTTAACATCTTGTTCTTTAAAATGAAACTGCCATACCTTATCTGTAGATTTCAAAGCAATATATAATGCTTTTGACCATCGCTGTAATCTAATTCTTGTCTGAAAGTCAATACCTAATATTATCCTGATGATTTTGATTTTAATTTTTGATAGATTATTAAAATACAGCACTTACAGTTAACTATATTTCTTGAAAGTACCTACAATTTTTATGTATTTCCTACTTTTACTTGTTTAAAAAAATGCCAACAATTTGTGCATGTCAAAAAAAAAGTTTAAAAAAAAACAGGTGATTGCCGACCACCGCCGACTTTTGTGTCTGGTATTTTCAATGCGCCTATAATGGTTGCGCATGTTGCAAAATCTGTGAATTTCTATATATGTTGTTAAGGTTTGGGTCTTGATAAAAAATCAAAGTTTTCGACCTTGGGGTGGGACCGCTCGAGCCGCCATCTTAGATAGAAGGTTGTAACAGTCCAAATTTAGCTTTAACTAGGTTTAAAAGTATACCAATATTTTTACAAGTTAGATCAAACTCTTATTTGTGCTGATAAATAAATTTATTGCATTTAATTTTTATAAACAAATATTCATTACAGCTATATTTCATTATCTTTCTTACTCTCCTTTGCTTAATTTATTTCGCTTTCCATGCCATATCTCAAGTCAGTAATCAATCAGTAATCTAAAAATATAATTAAAATTTCATTATCTAATGCTAATATAATCAAATTCACCAAAATATTACCTTTAATTTCTGGACTTGTTTATGTTTCTGAATGTTAGCCTATTTGCCGTAATTTCTAGTAGTTCTGTGGTACTGCTTGCCCTTGTATTATCTTAGATGATTTCCTATCAAGTGTGGATTGTCTCTAAAATATTATTTGATCCTATATTTCATTATAGAGCTCAAAATGAAGTTATTTACCCGCATATTTTTGAAATTTATCATTTGTTTATTTTCTGCAAATTGTAGGGTTAACAATTATTATTAGCCGCCATTTATATTTGAATTGCTCAGATCAGTTGAGATGCGTGAATTCGGCGCACACACGCTGTTGTCAGGTTGGGCAGTACTTCCTTTAGGTTCTGATGTTTGCGTTTCAGCAATACGTAACTGAACGAAGCTTGAT